CTTTTAAAAAATAAAAAAACCAGTTTTATCCCCAGAATACTTCTGTCAAAGAAAAAATTAGGCTATGCATATAAAATGACATAAACAGTACAACAGTAGGACTAAGATATCAAGTACAATGACACACGAGAGTAATTAACACACTACTTCTCCCTTCCTTCTTATCCTGATAATATCCACAGCCTATTCAATGTTTATGAGCATGGGCAGAGGTACTGTATGGAATATATAGACTGTGACATGGTGCTTTCTCTCAAGAGGATTGCAGCAAAGTCACGTAGGCAGAAACAACAAAAACTGCAAAGCAAAGGAAATGAGTCCTATCATAAAGGTGCAAAGGGCAATGGAAAGGAAGAGTTAGGAGTAGTAATTCATTACAACTGAGAAGAACTGGTTAGGCTTTTTGGAAGAAGCACTAGAGCTTTCTTGATAGGATGAGTAATAATGTGACAGGACACTGAAAGTAGGGAAAGTATGTACTTTCATCTGTGTTTATAAGATGAACAAAAGCAACTTCATGAAAATACAGAGCATTCTCAGGGAGTAAGAGTACTGTAGTGTGGTAAAGCACAGGGGAGGGACAAAACAGGAGAAACCAGCTGGGGCCAGGTCATGGAAGGCCCGGAGCACTGTGCTCAGGAGTCTGAAATCTATTCAATAGCAGTGGTAAAGTTATTAGTGATTTTGTGCAAGACTGAAATGATCTAATCTATTTAGGAAAAAAAATGATGGAAATTTTGATGTTTACTAGAATAACTAAGCAGTATATCATAACTAGGAAAAAGGGGAGAAAGGGATAATTATTAAAAACCAGAAAAGATTAATAAGAAAAAAAAATCAGATGACTAAATTTTCTGGTTTGCCTACTGGCAGAGTAGTGGTTTTGGGAGGAGGAACAAACATAACCTTTTCTGTTTAGTTTTTCTGTTCAGTTAGATAGCACGGTAATTTGGACCATGTAGTTTTATACATTTTCACCATGAGACAAGACAGCAGACAATACTTTATATATATTTTGTATGCAGTATGGAAAATAAATCAATATTTTCCCTACATTTCTACGTTGCCTACACTAGCATGCTACATTAAATGTCATAAATAGCCACAGACACATTTTGTCAGCTTTGTTAATGCTATTAAACAAAAGAGCATAAAAGCAATTTAAATCTAAAATGCCAAGTAAAGAAAAACAAGAAAAACACAACAAGGAAATGAACAGATTAACAAAGCACCTACTGTGAGCCAGAAAACATGTTAGTCTCTTTCGTATCATTATCATTTAGTCTTGAAAATAACCTTTCAAGATTCATCATTCTTATAAATAAAGAAAACTGGGCTCACAGAAGTGAAATAATGTGAACAGTGACATAGCAAGGTAGTGCCAGAGTGAGAATGAGGTCTCTTTGGTTCTCTGTCTGTATCTGGAACCACATCAGCTTTCCCAAAGTGTGGTATGTGAGATGATTTTAGATAATATCAGACATTTTTATTTTAATAATTATTTGTATTAGAAAAAAACTTATCACATAAAATTCATTATTTCATGGATATTATTCTTTAGGATGAGGCTAAAAGAAGAGGATATTTTCAAAAAAGGTATTAAATAAATGATAGAACAGGGTTATGTGCACATGGCAAAAACTCTTACGATGGTATATGCACAATGAGACCTGAAAAATGCCACCAAACAAGGAATTGCCTTCCTAAAACCATACCACTTGATGTTCACGTTTTTTAATTTTAGACAAATTTACAAGTGAAATTATAGACATACCTGACATAGTTTGATCAAGTTTGTGGATAAGAGACTTTTTAGCACATTCAACATCAGGACTTGGGTAATCCAAAACTTGCCTGCACCAAACTAACGGACTAACCGATTTCTGCATTGGTGTAAGTTTTTTCTTTGGTGACGAATACAGCCTAGAAGAAAACAAAAACAGAAACATTCATTACCAAGCACAGGTTATAAAACAGACATCATCCTGGATAGATTTAAATTGGGGGGAAGAGAGTAAAAGAAATGGAGTATGTTTAAAATCACCCACTTTACTTACTGCGCAGGAAGAAAATGATACTATAACAACACAAAACTCAAATTTCAAGTACTAAATGAACCCAAATGAAGCATTCCTAAAATGTGTCTTATTTTTCTCTTGTATTATCATTACTAAAACCATGAAGAAATATCTATATCTTTACAATAGTTTATTCCATTTCAATAGTACTTGACTAACTCCCTAATATAGTCGTACCATTAAATTTAGTGCAGAAAGCAAGAGGAGCCAAATTCCTTGCTCTCTACCTCTCATTTCTCTTCTGACCATACACGCACGCAAAAATCTACCATCAGTGATTCAGTCCTTGTAGTTAAGCAGTAGCCACTCTGTGGGATTACAGGCGTGAGCCACTGCATCTGGCCTGTAGTCCTCTTTTCAAACAATGGTATGTCTGAGAAAAACAATACTTTAAACCCTTAATAACTTAATGTGAATCAACTATGAAATTGCTTCAGTTTCAGAAAAGGGACAGTATTTTATAAACTAATGGGGAAGGTATACAGAAGGGAAAAGGTGAGCACAAGACAGGGGAGGGGCATATTTTAATTTCCTACTTCACAGTTTTTCCTCAGATTAGTCTAGATTATGTCAGTTATTATTCATTTACTTCAAGCATGAGTCCATATGAAAAATGTGAAGAGTTACTTGATTTCTAACTAGAGTGGTTTTCAGATTAAGACATTTTAAGTAGAATTTATAAGGTTAACAAAATTGTGCTTTGATACCATATATCTACATAGTTAAATGTCTCAAAAAGGCAAGGAGCTAATAATGTCACATTTTATACTAATCGACTTAGCACAATAATATCAAGTGTTGTTCGCTGCAAATATTTAAATAAATATATCTCTACAGTACCGCAACAGACAGACTCCTTCTAGTGGCGATATGCACCTTTCTCATTCCTGCTCTGGTCTCCCCTATCTATAACCTAAATCTGTCACTCACATACATTATTTAGCTTTGACCAAGATAATCAAGACTAATGGGATAAATGACCATCTCTTCAGTCCACAATCCATATTCATTTAAACAATAATATTGAAATAGAATCTCATTTATGAAAAAACAATTCAAAATGAAATCAATGGGGTTTATTCTCTTTGCTGCTTAAACACTGCAAATGTTCCATAATAAATCTCTACCACAGCATCTTCACTTTAAAAATTGTGATATTAGGCCAGG